CGAGCAATGGTACGAACAGAGAAGGAAAAAATATTTCTAAGTATAGATCATCAAGATGATTTTACCCATTCATCCTAGGATGATCTTCTCTAGATTTTTAAATTACTCTATTCGTCTAGACAATTTTACATATTCGTCCCAGGACAATCTCCTCTGGATTTATCAATTACTCTGTTCGTCCAGACAATTTTACCCATTCATCCCAAGACGATCTCCTATGGATTTGTCAATTACTCTATTCATCCAGATGATTTTACCCATTCATCCCAGGACAATCTCCTCTGGATTTTTCAATTACTCTGTTCGTCCAGACGATTTACCCATTGGTCCTAGGACAATCTCCTTAGGATTTAACAATTATTCTGTTCGTCCAGACAATTTTATATATTCATCCCAGGACGATCTTCTCTATTCTGTAAACTTTGTAGTTCATCCTACATTTTTCGTACCAATGAACTTTGGGAATAAATGTTCGTACATGATGAAACCTGTTCATATGGGACGATGATCGGGTATGTAGGCAATTTGTACCAATTTATATTGAGTTCATACGCAACAGTTTTTATACTATTCGTACATACAAAATTCAATCGTATGGGATGATCGTGAATGGTCAAAAATTGAAATTTGCAGTTTTTGGACAGTTTTTCAGGTCTTTTTTATAAAAGGTCCACTTAAGACTGTCATGCAATCTTTTTATTGCTTGCTCTTCGTGAATACTAAAGGGAATTTGAAGGAGAGAGTGAGAGAGACTATTTGAAGGAGATTTCTTACTAGTGGAGCATGAAGGGTTCACTTGATTACTCAAAGGTAAGGATCTCTAAGTGTTCTTTGTAATTTCTTCACTCTTTTCCCTTGTCCTTCTAGATTTTTTATGAGAAAATCTTTCAAGGAGATCCGGTTATCTACCGGCACTCGAGGAGTGTGAACAGCTGAAGGTTTTCTACCTACACTTAGAGAGTGTGAACAACGGAAGGTTCTTTGCCTACACTTAGAGTGTGTGAACAGCGGAAGATTCTCTGCCTACACTTGGAGAGTCTGAACAGCGAAAGGTTCTCTGTCGACGCTTGGAAGGTGTAAAAGGACAACGGTTCTCTACCGCACCGGGTAGTGGTGGAAGAGAGTTTTTGTGAAGGCTTCTCCACCTTACTGTGGGGGCAAAAGGAGAGACACTAGTGATAATAGTACAATACCTAAAGTGGGAGACTTCAGGGAGTGGATGTAGGTCGTGTTTGATCGAACCACTTTAAATCTTATGTCTTTTATTTTTCGCTGCTTTTTATTTTTATATATATTGTTATTATCTGTGGTTGAAAAATATATATTTTTTTAAATTACTCAAAAGAATTCATCGATTTTAAACTTTTAAATTTCAATTAAGAGGATAATTTTTAAATTATCAATCCTCTCCCCTCTTGGTTAGCCGTTGGGACATAAGCTTAGGTCTAACAACCTAACTCATATTTAACAAGTTTCAATAACTAATATAAACAAAATTTTGTTTTTTAATTTAAATAACACTTGCATGGAAGATTTTTTTTTTTTCAATTTTGATTTCTAAATATTTTTTTTCCTTTTTTACACAAAGACAAGATATTCTATTTATAAAAAATGAAGTACTCACAGGTCACTCATTTGCAATAAGTAAAATGTTAGAAAACATCAATATTGGAAAGTAAAGGTAAATCACAAGAACAAACACATCGAAATCAAAATTTTATAATGGTTCGGTCAACCTTGACCTACGTTCACTTCCTAAAGTCCTCCACTATGAGTATTACACTAATACTAGTAACTCTCCTTTGCCTAACAAGATGGAGAAGCCCTTACAAATCACTTTCACCTCCTCGATGCAACAGAGTAGCCAAATCCCTTTCACCTTCCCGATGCGACATAGTAGCCGAATTCTTTTCACCTTTCTTATGCGGTGAAGCAGTCGAATCCTTCCTAGGAAGAGACACTCCCAAAAGTTTCCCTCAAGCAAAGACATTAACCTTGGAGGAAGAAGGTGCAATATCATCTAGTAATAGTGTGTAGAAACCCCTCTCACACAATATCTTATCCCACAAGAATATTCTCTCTCAAGACCACACCCCTCTCTCTCTCTCTGAAGTAATTCTCTCTCTTTAAACCCTTCTTATAGAAACTCTCCCTCGGAAAAAATGGCAAACCACTTAATCACGTTAAGAGATGTTTAAATACAAAGGATTCCAAAAACCCTAATTTTTAAAGTTAGATGACTCAATTGGTACAATACAATCATGGATCATATACCATGATCTGTTCAAAATTTTACATAGTGATCATACAACATGATACTTGGATCGTACGATTTATTAGTGCATTCATCTCAAGATCGTACAGGATGTTCAAACATCATCTTTGCCAATCGTACAGTACGATTATAATCGTATGGTACGATTAGTTCAATCAATCAAGGTTTATCTAGGATGATCCCTGCGAAGATCAAATTTCATCTCTCCCAATTGTCTAATACAATCTACATCCTACGGTACGACTTTCATTTAATTAACTAATCATAAAAATTAGTTTAAGTAATATTTTAAATATTGTACAGTATTAAATGGTTTGAACAATATGACTAGTTCAAAATTTAAAAATTAATATATTTACCTAAATCTGATTGGTGGCTAATAATTATATTTTAAATATATCACCGTATATAGTCTAATTTGTACAATATGATCAATTCAAAAATATCAATTACTAAATTAGCCACTTTAATTGATTTTCTAAATAACTTATTGTACAAAACGATGAGGATTGTATAAAATCAAAATTTATTTTCTCAGTACCCGTTTGTGTGTGTGCATGGTCGCCAAGTTAGCATACACCCTTAAATGACTTTGACTTAAGAAATATAAAAATAAAGAAATAAAAATTACAGACATGTAAATATCATTCTATTCTACCAAGTCTTGAGCCCTTAAACTTCATTACACGGCGTGTGATGTATTTGAAATATTAGTACATACAAAAGTACATATACAATATAGGTATTAGGAGAAATAAAGAGATAACAATTATATTTGTTATCATCAAAGTTTAGGATCCCAGATTGTGCCAATTTCCCTTTTTTATGATGACAACTATTAATGATAGAATTTTTAAGTTAGATGCATATTCTCTTAATCTCCCCCTCAGTAAGTGAATCATTTTAAAATTAAGGGATTTTTTTTTCTTTTTTTAATTAAAAATTTAAATGATCTACAATATGATAAAAATCAAAATTAAGCAGATTCAATTAATTAATCATCTTATTAAATTAGGCAATATTTTAAACATTGTGTACATTATAAATAGAACAAAATTAAAATTTAAATTTTTGGCTAATTTAATTAATGGTAGGATTTTTTATTACACTTGATTGTCCAGTACGATGTGGGGTCGTACTATACAATTAGTTATACTTTAAAATATATTTTTTCAATTAAATAAATTATTTTAATTAATTTTTATAGCAATAGATCATACAACATGATCAAATTTGTATTTTATGAATTATAAAAAAATTAAAATATTTATAATTTTTATTTTCATTCACCCTCTGTGTGTGTGCATGTTGCTAAACTACTAAATAACAACATAAGCTATAAAGAAAGGCCCAAACAAGTATTGATGCTACACAATTAAAAAATAAACTATAAAACCAATAACATCCTAAATAAATGATACAATCAATAACATCTTACTCGTCCTTTTGACATCACTAAAAAGAAGAATTATAAACTAACAATAATAAAAATAATAACACTACAAGAAACCTAGGTGAGAATGAAGGGAAATAATGGAATTTGAGAATTGAAGAGAATTTAAAAGGTGCTTTGAGAATTAGAGTTTCTGAACTGGCAGATTTTCTACTATTAGAAGAAGAAAAATGTCATTCCCTAACCATTCCTCTTGAACCCTTATTTATAGGGTCATGGGAGCTACAGAAAAGGCCACATAAAGAAAAAGTAAAATATATATAACGCTACACAATCTTGGAATACAACGCCACATAATGCTCTGGATATATATCACTAGCAATCTGCAATGAGCCTTGAATTAACACGAGGGAATGGGGTGAGCAAAGTGAGATAAGTAAGGGATTGAGTTATGGTAATCGTTGCTAGGGTGAGTATGGAGCCCTAGGTAGGCATTTTCCTTTAGTTGAGATTGGATGGATGGTGGCTACTGTAAGAGAGAGTGAGTGGTTAATAGTGGAATCAGGGCATCTAGTTGACATTGAGCTGCTGATTTGATGGGGAGCTTTTGAGTTGGCTTGTATGAGGTGAGTTTTCCTATAGACTTATGTGAGTGATGTCTGTTGACTTGGTTGGTGAATCCTGCTGTGAGCTCCAAGTGAATGTCCGCCTTATGCAAGTTTCTCCTATAATTCCCCCTTCAAGGGAAAGTTCCCCTATCATGACCTACCAGATATATGTTAAATACCTATGAAGGTATATTCAATTATGTAATAGGAGGAAAATTATGTAAAGTAATGTAGTGTTTGAAAATATTTTTTGTGATATTTAGTTGAATATTATAAAAAATAAAAAAAAAGATTAATTTTTTGTGTTTGATTTTAAATAAAATTAATTCATAGTACAATATGATTGTGATATCAACGGGGAGGCCATTCACCCACGATGGCGATAGGACATGGCTAATGGCACAAGTGAGCGGATAATCGTAGTAGAAAGTGATGCAAGGGGTGGCCAATAGAAGATGGTGAATGACAGTCGCTAGAGAGCAATAATAGCGATATATTTAGAATTAACCTATAGAGTATGACATCCAATAAATTGAGATTCAATTGAAAAAAAAATTCAAATATACAATTATTTTAATGATATTTACTTTTCTTTCAGTCATATATAAAAAATTTAAAAATTCCCGTGCATTTAATTTACTTAGAACCTTAAGAGTAAGTTGTTTAACATTTTCTTTTAAAAAAAGACATTTACATGAGCTTGAAAATATAAAAACAAGGGTTTTAGCAGCAAGCCCGGTGAGAGCGCAGTGACGCGTCCGTTGTCCAGTTATGAGTGAACCCGTGAGGCTACGCGTGGTGTTCGAGGACGCCGGTCTCCTGCGTGGATCGCAGAGGCGGCGAGGGCTTCAGAGGTGCTGGCTCCAACTCCGACCTGGTATTGACACCATTGCCGACCTTGCTGCACACCTCCATGTGACCTTCGGTCTCCAAAACTCCTGCCCTCACGGGCTCATTATCTCTGTAAGCAAGCGATCTCCCGCTTCTTTCTCTGTTTTGAGTTTCTTTCGTTCTTTGTTCTAATATTGTTCATATATTTGATGAGGGAAATACGAGGTGACACAATGTGATTTGACGTTGGATTTTAGTGGATATCATTCAGCGAGATTGAGGCCATATTCTCACATGTCTAGTTGACGTTGTTATGCATTTGTACACGATAGCAGAAAACAAATTGCTGAATATTGAACTTGAACTCAAGAGCTGTTTCTAATTCTAAGTATATATTTAAGTAATGGAATGTTAACTAAGTTCTATAACTAGCTCAAGATTTATTCTGATTTCTAGCATATTTTTCCTCGTGAAGTGTGTTCAGCATTATGGGTCTGAGGAATGAAAAAGAGATAGATGGTGCTACTGCTCTAAAACTAATCACAGGTGAGGCTTTCTGGATTTACCGAGCCTAATAAAAATGTTACTCTGAATGAATGGCACACAGAAGAAGAAATAAGAGTAATTTGACCCATTTTGTCATTGTCAATGATGATGTTGTTATGTTCCTTGACATGCTCGTACTGTGCAAATTCATACCGAGCATGGCTAGCGAAATGAAAGAGATTTGACATGGACATGTGTCTAATTGATCAGTGATATCTAAATTCAATTCACATTTCAGAAATTAAGTTTGTGGGCTCTTATCACTAATTCTCCTGTCTATTTACACCGAAAAAGCAATCTAAATTACAGATAAAAAGGATTCAGCACCTTGCAATGACTTTGATGATCTGTTTGTAAATGTATTTTATGATTTTTTCACCAATTGAGTTTGAGTTTTAATGATCTACAAAGTTAGAGACTGGTTGATAGCAATAGTGTATGTGACTGATCAGCTATGTTGCACCTATACGGATACGGCGACACAGATACGACACATTACGAATATGGGACACGTCAAGTCTTAAAAATACAGGATACAGATACGGCACGGATACGATATTATAATATATAAATCATACATAAAAATTAAGAAATTGTTTAAAGTGTAATATTTGAAATGACAAAAAAATTGAAAGCAACATCATTTGTAGCATTGTATCTTATAATATGAAAATAAAAGTAAGCATTAAATATTTAAATATTTAGTACAAAAACAAAAACAAAAACATAAATTGTCCAGCATATGAAGTTTCAACTATTCAATAGAAGGAATGGTAAGATTATCTTCTTCAGTGGTTTGTCTTTGAATTTCTATATCATCTTCAATAAATATCATAACTTCCAATTCAGGCTCATCAAGTGAAAGATTAGCAATTTCTAATATTCCATTATGCTTAAGAGATTCAAATTCATCTCCAGCAACATCGCACATCCTGTTGTCTCCATCCATGTAAGTTTGAGTTTTCCTTGAGAGAAGCCGAAGGTTTGTATGCACATAAATTAAATCTTCAGCCGTTGTGGAGTAATTTTATTTCTCTTCATTGATTGGATGAATGAGTATATGCTCTAATTTTTTTCACAACAAGATGATGATGAAACTTGGCCAAACAATTTTATGGCTATTGTTTCAAGTAGAGGTGCTGAAGCTCCATGTATAATCCACCATATTTTCAGATCAATTCTTCACCTATCACGCAATGACTCTTGGTCACCAAAGTCCTCTAAATAACCAAAAAAATTAGCAAGATCAATATTGACACTTCTTCTCACCTCCTCATTTAAAAAATAACGCTTCAAACATGTCTTCCTCATATTTGAAAATTCTAAATCTTTCTGTGGAGAAATTCTTTGAGGATCCTCTTAAAGCCATTCTTTAGTTGAATATTTTCAAATAACATTAAAAACAAATGATGAAAAAATGTTAAAATTATTACTAAACAATAAATTATGAATTAATAATAAAAAAATGTTGAAATTTACTTAGGATTTAGTGAGTGAGCTAAGCAATATAAGTGTGTATTACTTTTGCTCCACCTATTTTCTAGAATATTATAAATAACATCCCAAAATCTTGAGTCTTCGTGAAGTGTCTTCCTCTCATTTTTATATAATTTCTTTTATTTTGGCTAGCATTGAATCCCACATCTCATAAATGAGATGTAAACAAGACTTTTCTATATCAGCTACTCTCAACATCTCATAAATTGGATATGTGAAATTTAAGATGTTTTCAATCTCATCCCACCATAAATCATCTAAAAGCTTCTCCTTTACATACATAGTCTTTCCAACACCATCTTTCCTATAACAAGACCATTTGTCACTGATCACCATTGCTTGAAAAACATTTTTTTATTTTTTTGAATCTTCTCAACATCACTATAACTGAGGCAAATCGAATTTCAGCAACTACAAGCATCTTCAAATTAGAGAAATCATTGAACATAGAGAGTCTCATGGAGTGATTCATAATAAAATTCCTATACAACTTCATGTCTAGCAATTACTGTGATCCAATGACATTCATTGTAGGTGATTTTGTTTGACTCGATATTCTTAGCTTCACAAATATTCTTTAATGCAAGATTAAGCGTATGTACAACACATGATATCCAAAAAAAATAAGGATAGACTTGCTCTACAAGTACAAATGCAGCTCTACAAATAAGTGCATTATCAGTAATGACCTGGATGATGTTTGAAGGTCCCACCATCATGATATTTCTTTGATTAAATTAGAAATGAAGAACTTATTCTTGTACTGTCCTTCACAGTTTATAACTTTGATAAACATAGGATAGCTCTTTGTTACAATCATGAAGTTGATAAGTGGTCTTATTTGTGGATCTGTCCACCCATCACAAATCAAAGTAACTCATTTTTCCTTCCAAACTCCTCTAGTAGGCTCGAGCAACTTCTCAATATTATCACTCACTCTTTACAACAATTTCATTCTAATGGTATTATATCCTGGTGGCACGTATCCCGCATGATTGTTATTGCATGTATATGTAAAGACATTTTTGTAATGTGAATTCTTTGCTAGGTTAAAAGGAAGTTCAGCTGAGTAAAACATTTTAGCTATTTCCTCATCTAGTTGTTCTCTCATTTGTAAATTAAATGCTTTCTTCAAAGCACTATCTACATGTTTTTTCTTTTTGGTTCATATCCCTCCATCCGGAAAGGCCATTTGTTTACAGTACTTTCATCACTTCTAATTGAAGAAAATGATGAAGGATATGAAACCTGGGTGCTTGAAAGTGGAATATGTTTTGGAAGCTCTTTTTTACTCCTTTGCTCAGCTTCACTGATTTTTCTTTATAATTCAGCCATGTGTGATGAGCTTATCTTCGGGCATATTTTAATTTTATTACCACTAATTTTCAACAAATGAACTCTCTCTATAATATAATCATTTGTATGTGACATTACAATAATTGCATTTGAATGTAATATTGCCACCCCTTCTGATGTTTTACCTATTTTTGTCACATAACCCTATAGATGTTTGTTATCTTCAGTATTGGTTTATGATGGACCTTCATTAGAATCAATTTCTATGCCACTAGAGCTCATTATCCTATGAAGGATCAACACAAATTATACCACATGAATTTAAAACATGAAATTTTTTAAGTAAAAGTATAGATATGTCGCAGATATGCTGGGGGTCCAAAGGGGAGCTGCCCCTTGGCCGTGTTCGACCTGCCCGATCAGGTCGTAGGGTGAAGGGTTGTTTTAAAGCTTTCTCTAGCTTCTCAGTGCTACTTGGTACCATTCGGTACCCTCGTTATCGAGCGGTATCGAACATTGATACTGAGCATGGTATCGAGCGTTGCGGAGAAGTAATGAGCGGTATCAAGTTCCGGTACCGAGCGGTACCAAGTTCTGGTACCGAGCAGTACCGAGTTTCGGTATCGAGCCTACGATGAAGAAAACGAAGAAAAGGACCCTTCACTGCTCGCGTCGCCTTCACTGTTCGCATCGTCGAGCTGCTTCGTCGACGAAGGATGATTCTGTCGACTTTAATGCTCGTGTCGTCGAGCCTCTTTGTCGATGAAAGATGATCTTGTCCTCTTCTATGCTCACGTCGTCAAGTCGCTCCTTCGAATATAACGAAGAAGACGAAAGCCTGTGCAGAAACGAAAAATCTAGCTCGCTGAAATGTTTAAGCCTCATAAATGAATAAGGATATTGAGCGGATAGCTGAAATGAATAGGGCAAACTGTGCCTCCTTTTTTTTCGTTTATTTAATAGGACACACGTATCCGATACGTGTGTCTAGTCAAATTTAAATAATATTTTAATTGGACACGACAAAGCCGTATCTGACACGTATCCGTGCCGTATCAGAGCCATATCCATATCCGACACATATCCGATACAACATGCCTCGTAAATAGGAGTATTCGTGCTACATAGCTGATCAACTTATATTTTATAGTTCCATATAATGCCTGATGGACTTCATGGTGTGTACGGACTAAAACACATTCTACATATTTTCTAGGCTTTATAGACCATGGACTAAAAAACATTCTACATATTTTCTGGGCTTTATAGACCATAACATTTTAGCCCTTTCCATGCTTGCATTTCCTACAGCCTCATGGAGTGAGATATCCAATGCATGAAAAAGGGAAAATTGTTATACTAAAAGAGAGTTTTGATATAGCTTCCACTGAGAAGGGAGGGAGGGATTTTGAGGGAGTGTGGGGTAGTTGAGAAAGAAGTGCATTCTTAGTTCTCAATATAAAACTTAGGCTGCACTGGTTTCTTGACATGGCATTATGCTACATAGATTAATAGACTTCAACCTTAGTTTCTGGCAACCCAAGTGTATTTCCTTCCATTTAAAGGACAAAAAATGGTTTTCTAGTTTTTCCTTTAAAAAAATTTACATACAAACATAAACAAACTAGTTATAGATTCTCATTTCCTTTTATTTGGATTTACATCCTAATCAGAGTTGATACAATTTTCCAAAAAATATTTGATTTTGAAAGTTTGTCTTTAGAGATCCCTTGTCTTAAAATGGAAGTGCTTTTTCTCATTGTTTTTGGTAGTTTATAATAGAAAATTAATAGTCCTAGCTAATTATGTTTGATTATAGTTCAGAGAAAGTGCCTCTCAAACTAAAGTGAAAATTTTATAAGATGGTGGTGAGATCACTAATGCTTTATGGCACAAAATGTTAACCAATAAAAGAGAAGCATAAAAAATAAGTTAAGTGTTGTAGAGATGAGGATGGTCAGGTGGATGAGTGGCTTTACTCTTAGAGATAGAATGCAAAATGAGTATATACATGAAAATGTTAGAGTAGCTCCAGTGGCAGATAATATTTTAGAGAGTCATCTTAGATGGTTTGGTCACATAAAATGTTGGCCTTCCGATGACCCAGTTAGGAGAGTAGATGTTTTAGATTTGGCTCATGTTAGGAAAGGTAGAGTAGACCTAAAAAACATGGTTAGAAAATATTAGAATTGACCTTTTTTATTAGTTGTGAGAATTTGACTCTTAACGGGAAACATTGGTGAAAAAAGATTCATGTAGCTGACCCCACATGGTGAGATAAAGGCTTGATGTTGTTGCATTGTGTAGTTCAAAGAAAAAAATTGGCTCTAGGGTTAGTTAATTTGTTTTCAAAACCAAAAATACCGAATTTGAAACCTGCAGGGTATAATTCCTCAAAATAACACTATACTTGAGCTTGCATCACAAGTCCATTATTATGTAAATACATTTTAGTAATAAACCTTTGATTGTCATTCCATGCAAATAATGCATTTGTAAAGGGTTAGATGCTAAATGACATGTTATTCCAATTTAGGAAAAACAATTCCGAGTATTTTGCATTTATGAGAAGAAATAAATTGAGAGGACCGTTATAATATTTTCTGCTTAGTTTTTCAATTTTTAACTTCACATATTTAAGCCTATGTCACGTTTGTCTTCCCAGATTAGATTAATCTCTTAACAGAAAAGCAAGCATAACTTGAATCAATACTTCACTGTAAATAATAAAAATTTGCTCTTTATGTTTCATTCACTGATTCACTTTACTGCTCAGTTTGACAAAGAGCTGTTAAATTGAGTTTTATGTGTTTGCTAATGTTAAGATGGTGTTGTTGCTACGTGGTCTTTTCACAAAAAGCCATATGCTGCTTACCAAATGACATCTCTGTGTTTAATACTTGTTACTTGGTCTTTTTCACAAATTATGCAAACAAAAAATCTAGTTAGATTCTATGATTGCTTATGATACCTTTTACATTTTGCTAATGTTAAGATGGCTCTGATTTGCAATGTTTTCATTTTTTATCACGATCTTTGCAATTTTTGTCTTGAATTACATGGGCTATTTTCTTTTTGTTGATAACAAGAGTATTGCTATTGGTAATCTTCATGGCTTTGTAAATTACAATTTATTGGTGAGATTTGAAAATCCTGTACGAGTAAATAGGTATTATATTCTTAAAACATGGTTTATTTGTTGGAGTTTTTTTTATTTTGTTTTTTTGAACAATTCACTTTAGTTACACAACGAGCTTGGAGTTTGTATTCAATCTATTTGATACAGCTTTTCAACCTTTTCCTTGCAGATGGATGGTTTTGTTTTGCCATTGTTCGAATCAACATGCATTCTTAAGGATGAGGACATAATCATGTCAGCTTTGCTCTTACCTTTCTCCTTTGTGGAAGTGCCATAACAGTTTTATATACATGCATTAGAACCATTAGCATATTATATGTAGGAATCGTGATTTCATATAAAAATGCTCTACGTTTTCTGTGTTAATCAAATTTTGTATGTAGGAATAGCTTGTGATTTTATATTTTTATTTATATTAGAAGATAATTAAATTTCTTGAATCTTAAATTTGCTAACGTTTTTTAGGATAACTACCACACATGCCTTTACATTTGGATTGCGCTTCATGTAGGTCTACACTTTTGAAAACCTTCAACTTTTACCCCAAATACCTTTTGAGATTTCATGATGACTTCCTACTTGAGGTCTTCACATAGGTCTATTTCTACTAATGATGATAAATATTTGTTAATTTAGTTGATGCCACATTTTTTTATAAAAGCTGAATGAAATTTATGTCTCATGGCCAAAGTGTCCTTCATCTATGTTTCACCGATACGGATACGGTGACACGGATACGACATGATGTCAATTCTTAAAAATATAGATATGGGTACGGTTCAGACATGACATTATAATTTATAAATCATACATTAAAATTATGAAAGCAAGCAAAGCATAATATTTGAAATGACAAAAGAAGAAGAAGAAAGCAACATCATTTGTAGCCTTGTAGCTTATAATATCAAAATTAAAATAAGCATTAAATGTCTAGTATAACAACAAAAATAAAAACATAAATTGTCTAGCATATGATGTTTTAACTATTCTATAAAAGGAATGATAGTATCTTCAGTGGTTTGTCTTTGAACATCTATATCATCTTCAATAAATATCATATCTTCCAACTCAGGCTCATCAATTGAAAGATTAGCAATTTCTAATATTCCCATATCATCAAGAGATTTAAATTCATCTCAAGCAACATCCTACATTCTATTATCTCCTTCCATATAAGTTGGAGTTTTCCTTGATTGAATCCATGTATGCTGGTATTTGGGGCATAAATTATGTAACATGGTTACAAGCATCTATCCTTGCATGATGTCAAGTATATTTTTAACACTAAAGTCCAATGTAGACAAATCTATTACCATTGGTCATGGTTCTTTTTAAGTGAAGAAAGAAATAGACTAAAAAAAAGACTTACATACATTGCATATTTTTTAAAACACTAATGAAAGTACCTCACAAATCTTTGACAATAACGCATTGAGTACATAATTTGTTGGAATATAAGAGAGCTATTACTTCACCTTTCAAAAAAAAAGTAATAAAAAAAGACCATGTGACAATACTTTAATCCCTTAAACCCACTAAGAAGCTAGCATTTCTATCAAAATTGTAACCTCATATTGTTAGTTAATTTGTTCATTAAGGAGACCAAGAGCATGTGTATAGTTCAACACCTTTTGCATTAAATACCTTCATGAAAAAAAAGGGGAAATCCTTCTTTCTCTTGACCTCAAAAGTAATTGAATGGCATAATGAAGTTACTGATTTTTTTTTTGTAATTTTGTAAAGCAAAGCAAAGTACGATGGAGAAATAAGAAGAAAGGAAGAGAAAAAAAAGAAGAAGAAATGGAGGATAAGACAAGGAAGAAGAAGAAGAAGAAGAAGAGAAAGATGGAGGAGGAGACAAGGAAGAAGAAGAGGAAGAAGTGAGGGAAGAAGATGAAGAAGAAGAGGAAGAAGAAAGAAATTTCACTTTAAGAGCAAGGAAGGGCGAGGGCTTGGCTTCAACTGCTGTCCATGCGAGCGAGGCGACGAGACAAGCTCAATCTGGAGCTTCTCGCATGAGAGGAGTTGACCTCTTGCTGTTAGGTTGACCGAAGAAGGGGACACGGGCTTCGGCTTTGGGTTCGGAAGAGAGGCACTACTGGAGCTGGAGCTTCCGCCTCTATGTCGTTCGAACCAGGGGAAGACGGGAGCACTTTTGGACCAAGAGTGTCTCGCAAATAGAGAATAACAAGAGGAAGGAGGTCATCTTCTCCAAGTCTTGCGTGGTATAGACAATGGTGGGACGAGAGATTAGGAGGTAGGGGCTTTGGCTAGGGCTTTGTTTGGGTAGGCTCTTGTGCGATCTCAAGGGAAGGGAGGAGAGGGCTGTAACATGCGACCGCAAAAGGTAAAATGAAATGCCCTAACTTGTGATCGCAGTAATATTATACGGGCTTTAGCGGTTCACGCGCCGCATTTTTTTTTAATTAGGACACGTATCTGATACGCGTGTCCTTTTTAAATTTAATATTTTTTTAATCGGATATGTCATTGCCATATCTGACACATATCGGTGCCGTATCGGATGCATATCCATGTTCGACACGAATCCGATACAATACGCCTTCGTAAATAGGTGTATTGGTGCAACATGACTCTTCATCCTCTTGATTCTTCTTTTGTTCTTAGGTTAGCTCAATTTTTGATGATCTTGCTGAGCTCTGCCACTTAACAATGGAGTCCAAAAGAGCTATTTCAATCTCAAAATCGGAGATGAGATTTTGGAGATTCTAAACCTAAGCTTCTTTTTATGGGTAAGGTTGAGCTAAATTTTGTTAATGTTTGAGAAGTAGAACTAGAATAAGAGAGGTGGAGTTGGCTGGAAAGGGAGAGGATTATTGCTTTTGGTGATGAGGTGTGCTGGTATCACTATAGGATATGAAATCACTATATTGTCGGAGATGGTCAAAATTAGGAGTGGCAGATGTGGAGGGGTGATTTTTGTATAAAAAGAAGAATAGGTTGGAAATGAAGGAATCATTAGGGTTTTTGTCTCTCATTACTCAATTGCTCTTTTCTACATAATTAAAGTGAAGCGCGATAGAAACATTTGACTGGAAGGTTTTAAAAAATTGGACCTATTTAAGTGTGATTCAAACATGAGGTATATTTACCCTTTCTTTTCTTTTATTTAATTTTATGTGGAAGATTGATGAAACATATCCTTTTTATGTTATAAATTTCAATTTTTCTTCATCGATTTTGAGCTATTTAGTTGCAAATTTATTATTTTTACTATTAGTATAAAGTTGGTTGATCCATTTCTGCTGAACTTGTGACATGCAAAATTTTTTTGCTAGTGATAAACATGGAGCATAGGTTGTGTTGAATTCCATTTTGTTCGGTTGATGATGCCTAATCATATTTTATGTTACCTGTAGGTTGATAGCTGTAAGATGAATGCAATAAAATCTGAGCGTGAGGAAAGAAGAGAGGAGGTAGATTTGAGAGAGAGAGATTTCAAAATTTTTATTATCCAAGCCACATATACAAGAATGGTGGAAGTATGAGCTCTGCACTAGAGCTTGAGCCGTGTAAGAAAAATAATACAATGGTTTGTACATCTCTTTCTCTCCCTTCGAGAGTACCAATTCTTAACCTCTCTGTTTTTTGGCATATGTTCTTTAAAGTCTCTACTCCTCCCTTTCCTTCTTCTCCCTCCACTCTTTTATAGGGTTCAGAAGAATGTAGGAGTTACATCCTGATATGTAGTTGTTCCATCGATCTGTAGTAATAACTTGTTGGTGCCAAGTTAGTTGGTGGTTAAATAAGGTGTGTCATATAGGATTGAATGCAGACGCGAAGGGGGCGAGTGTCATCTAACTATTGTCGGTGAGAGATGACAGGGCGATCTGGGTCACCTTGTTGAGGTAAAAAGGGCGAGCAACATCTAAGTTTAATCTCCAGGTGTATATGAGAGGGAAAGTTTTGAGAGGGATAGTGTCCTGGCGGCTCCTTGACATATTGAGCATGAGAGACATAGCTCTGGCTTAGATGGATAAAGATTTGCCTTGCTAAGAGAGGAACTTCTGAGTTTGCCTTTCCCCAACGAGGAGGGCGATTGCCTAGAGGATGTGATTAGTCCCATTCTGCCGTGCTCCAGTTTTAAGCTCCTTCCATCTCCTGAGCTAGTCCCTCGAACGAGCTGTGCCGAGGAAGGAGTATATCCTCCTTTGCTTGACCCAATTATAACTTGCAAGAAACCGACGAACGAGTATCTAAACAGGTAATCTTGGGTGTACATTTAGTTCTTCGATTTATGCGATCCTTTTAACTTCAGATGTAGAAAAGGTTGGATAAATGAAAAATCAGAAAATAAAGCATGAGTAAATGCAAATTTACTGTCTTGAATCTTTTATGAATTTCGAGGTTCATGTTTGCATGGAGATTGAACGGCCTTATGGTTTCTTTATAAATATCAATTTTGGGTTTGATGCAAATATGCCATTACTTTCATTTGAAAGCCTTGCTTAGTTTTGACGGGTTGGATCCTTCCGTTTGTCAAGCTTTCCGAAGAGCTGCCTACAAGAAAGTGCATATGTTCTTTGGGATGGAAGATGCAAATACGGATGGGGCTATGCTGAGTAGGCTTGATATTGGAGAAGAAGGATGAATGTCCATGGTCTCAGCCGATCTGATGCTGTTTCTCTGTTGAAGAGAAAGCTAGTTGATGGTGGGGAGCCAATTGTCATTGTAGATGATCAGTCATCTGGTTTTGCTGTGAGGATGAAGAAGGCGACTGCTCCTATTATCCTCGTAGTGGGTGCTGTGATTGGAGGATTTGAAGGTATGGAGGCTGAAGGGAATTGTCCTTTTTTCCCTAGGAGCGCTCAAGTAAGCGCAAATGAAGTTCTTTGGCAGGAGGCGAGTATGCATGAGCATGAGATAGTTGCTGAGCGGACTGTCGTTGTTGCTGAGAGGGCTGTCGATATGACTCTTGAGCAGCCATTGGCCTCTTTCTAATATACTCTATTTACTGATCCTGCCCTTCCCCCGGGTAGATTTTGATGGACGAAATTTTTGGAAGGTTGACGACTCTGGAGTTTTCAGCCAAGAACAAGGTTGTAGGTGAGCTTGGTGTTGTTGAAGGTGAGGTTGCTGTTGCAAGAGTTTTGGCGTGAGAGAGATCACCTCTTTGAAAGAGTAGGTGGCAAACATATGGGCTCGATGGAGGCCTAGTTGCGAGCATTGCTTAGTCAAACTAAGCATGAAGGTTTTTACTAGGATGTTCAATA